CACACATAAGTTTTCGATTCCATCTCAAAATCTTTATCAAGTTATGAAATTCGACGTCTTGTCTCGTGATTTACAGTGTAAATCACGCGACAAATCGTACCGGTACAGATCGCGGGGAGATCGTAACCGGCGTCCCCGTTCAATGTTGGAAGCTCGACAATAGCTTATATCTGCGGTGTGGCCAATAAACCTTGCTAAAGACGAACTCCTGGGTAGAGTTTTTGTTGGGTTACCCTTTTTTCAAATGAAAATGTCAACAAAACCTTCTGTTCAAACTATTCCATCTCGAGTTGCCAAGAGGAAGTCAGTGAAAGGGTGGCATGTGAGTTTCGTCTTGCTTTTCTCAAAAAGAAAAGAATGGAAAAGGCTTTATTATCATTATTATTATTTATTTTCAGGTTATTATTAGTTTAAAAGTTCATTGCTTTTTAACAGCCGCATCATCAGCAGTGGAGTCTAAAAGAAAGGCAGCAGAGGCCGGTGATCAGTCTGCCAAGCGACGCAAGGAGCCTGGGGACGATTGAGCTGTCATTCCCTGTGAAACCAGTAAGTAACGTCTTATCTCCTACCCGGGACTCTATCTTAGGCTGAACAGTGCGGGGGATCTGAGTATGAGTCCGGGCTATGTCAGAAGACAGTTATTGATACTGTTGATTTCTTCTGCAAGAAATTGAACATGAATATTTTTAGCCAATTGGAATACAATGTATGACAAATTGAGAAGCAGCTGTTGATTGCGGAGAGACAAGAAAAATGAACAAGTCTGCAGAAATGTCTCCGCATTTCACCATCTCGAGGTCTATCCCAAAATCATATGACGTGTGCAGCGTGTACCTGGCGCTTCATGAGGTCCAGTGAAGGTCCCATGACATGATACTCCATCCCACACCCCGCACTCACCAAGGACCCAGCAAATAGGGAACCACCAGGGGGGTCATTCTAGGGCCCTTGACCAAGACCACTGTGGCCAGTGCCACATGAAAAGAATTTCCCAAGATAATAAGACTTTGCGCAGGCGTATTGGCAGCACCTGGCAGCACTGAGTTTTGTTCACTTCAAGTTTACTGATATGCTGGTTTACTTAAGTAGTATTTAATTAAGTAATATTTTTATTTATTCAAATCATTTCTCCGTTTCTGTTTGCGGGTCAGTAACCCCGGCTAATTCCTTATAACCAGCTAGCGTTGACCAAATTTGGAAAACGTTTAGGATAATGAACAGTGAAATGACATCGATAGTACAGGATATCAACAGGAAGAGGGACGGCTCTCGTATGATTTGAAGAATTATACAGATCTTGGCCCTCGGCTCAGGCGGATAACACCTTCCTGGATCTGCATAATTTTTCAAATCATACTCAGCCACGGCAATAATTACTAATTATTAACATTTTCTTTTTACAGTCATCTATAGCATTTGCGTCTGTCAAGCCTTGTACACATCAAAGAGATTTCCCAGAAAACTTGTCAACCAGGAAGCAGTTATTTCTTAGTTCATGATGATAACATGTATTTTAGTCGTTAGCACGATTAATAAGATAAGCCTTGATTAAAGAAAAAAAAAGTAAAACTACCGCGAACGAGCATGGTGGCTGAAGAACCTAACAAAGACAGACGGACGTGAACATCAATGTGCTCCGTAAAGTCTTCCTTTTTCTCTTATTAATCGAATGTCTTTCATTTAATCATTTTCCTGGTTTTCGTTTCTATCTTTCATCCTTCTCTGGCAGCTGTTCTATATAATGCCTGAACCAATTGCATACTTAAAGATAAAAAATAATCAACTTAATACCCAAGTTTTATGCATTATTTTAGTCTCTCTTCTTAATCGTTTTTTACTTAAAATACTTGGTTTTATGTTATTTTTTTTCTATTTATCAGTATCGTAGTCTGCGTATTGTCCTCATTGTTCTTTAGTCCACCTTCTTTGTTCTTCAGTAGGCTATTTGCAGAAGGAAAAATTATGTAATAGTCATTTATAGTTGAGTTTCAATAAAATTTGTTGTCAGTGATACGTTGTTTCGTTGTTGAAAGGCGAAAGCGAGGGGGAGGGTGAGAACAAAGAGTGAGGGAGGGGAGAGACGCTATTTCTCTCGAATCTCACGTGGGCCCGGACGTTTTGCGCCTTGCAAATCCCGCATTTTGAGAAAAATAACTTGTTGAGCAGTCTATCAATTGTATTACTGCTGAAGTCATGGCCACTAGTTTTTGTCTTTTCTTTATTGATTTGATTCTTTAAATAAATTATTGAGGCCAACTCTTGAACTGATAAAAAGTGTGTTGAAATGCCCCGTTTTCACTTTCCATTTTGCTGATGAAGCGTCTCCGAAAAAAGCGACAGCTCTAAAGGTACAGCTTCCGCCAAAGACGAAACTAACCTTCTGGTTACGTTTATATTAACTTGGATAATATTACGTCTGACACTCAGGCTACTACGTCATTCTACTACGAGTTTTAGCGGGAATGTCGTGGTGGCAGAAACAAGTTATCATTTTGCGACCGGGAGAGGACTAAACCTCCTCAGCTCAATTAAGTCAACAGTGCCAACGTTTCTGGTAAAAAAAAACAGTCCGATGAAGCTTCCCGAGGTGTCTATTTTTTGAGAATACGCGAGAAAACCTCGTACTCGTAGTCGTTCTCATCCTCGAATCTAAACGTCTCTGACGTCTTCCTTACATTTAACCAACTCTGCAATTCAATAATCTTTCCTCCAATACCACCACCACCACCAACGCATTTTAATCATCTTCCCTCCAAACAACACCAACACCGCACTTCCCCCCCCCCCCCCCCCC